TACCTTACAGGCTGAGAACTATCCAGATCGTTATGATCCGGTATTGTAATGATACGCTAGGTGTACCTTTGTTTTTAAGTGCTGAATTAACTATCAAGGTTGTTTGACGTTTGTTTTCGCCTCAATCCGAAACGAGGAAGACCCTCATCAAATTATTAGGTGAAAGCCAGCCTCAGGATGACCAAAATACTAGGGGTAGTTTTGTCATAGTAATCTGTGAAGGGTGAGGAACAAGCCGTAGCAATGCACTCGTCACTAAACCAGCCTGAGATTATTCGCCAGGTAGCTGCTGCGTTTCCCTACTTGCTGAATCATGTTTGCAACTTTCCATTTCCAGACACTTTTTACGGCAAATAAATTGTTGGCTTATTTGGAAGGTGAATGACAATTTTATTTCTATAAGTCAATACATTTGTATTTCCGATTGCCCTAAAACTTTTTTTTTTTTAAATCGTTTGCGGTAGGTTTTTATTGTTCGCAATAAAGTTGCGCACCTGTGAATCCTTCACTTAATGCGTTCCCGGCTTCCCGGCGCCAGTTGCGCTGTGCCGTGCCGCGTTCGGTCGGGGGTGCGTGCGTCTGTGAAGTGCGAGTGTTTATCACTGGGCAAACCTGTATCGTTTCCATTTGTGCAGTGTCTAGTTATGAAGAATTGCTTGCCGATATATGACCTGCAGTGATCGACGTTCTGATTCAATAACTTGCCATAAGCCATTATTCTCAACCAAATCGCGCAGAGACGTTTGCAAAGTTGTCGAGGGGGGGGGGAACAAGAGCGATTTTAAATGAATTGCTCTCCATGCAGTGCAATAGGACTTAGGTTTAATTTTTCGAAAGTTGTGGAGCCGCCCCCGGTGTCCGGCCTGGCCAACTCTCTCAAGAACCGACAGCTAACGGAACACTGAAGTTTCACTACGACGATTTCCGCCAAAGTTATGAAGAAAAGGCAAGTGCAAGAAGTACAAAACTTCTCTTGGTAATCAAAACTTAGGTTTGGCAAATTCCAAACCCTAAGTCACTGCAACTGTGGATATAAATAAGCTGGTTATTGACGGCCAAGCTCTGGCCAATCTGAGGTTCAGACCTATCATCAAGTTCATGAGGCAGCTGCGGTTGGGCGGCTCACGGGCTCCACTGCATAGGCTCAGACAGGTACTCTACAAAATGTCTTCTGTGTTCTTAGGTTCAGATCTATCGATAGGTACGAGTATGTGCATGCTTCTGATTCGATTGATAACTGTAAACGGGCGCTGGAAGTGAAAGGTTCGCTTGATATACGAAAGGTGCATTGCAAGAAAGCACATTATTTCAGAAATACACTTTCATTTTATCTTGAGCGTTTTTGGAAAGGGTTGGATGAATTCGTCATCAAACTGGTAAGGGATTTCGTTTGAAGACCACCGATATTTAATAATATGATGGTCTTCAAACGAATTCGCTGGCAAATTCGATGACTGGATTGGGCGGCGTAGGATCTGCTGGTCATCTGACTATGGGTTGAGCAATACGTTAGTTTTGACCTAGTTTGAGCTTCATTCGTTAAGTAGGAACAAGACGATGCTTCTTTTGAGCATCGTCACTAAACAAGCCGCCCTCGTTTTGACATTGTTTTTCGTTATTATTGTTACTAGGTACTTTGTTATCATACACAGCATTAACGAGGACCTGCTTCCAAAACAAGGCAGAAACGCTCCAGCTATTTTTGGGACGTGGTAAAAACTAACCGACACCTGGTAACTGTCATCTGACGAACACAAAACAAGCCAGGGGCTCGCAGCGTGTGTCAAAAGTAGGATGCAAAACTAGTCTGTACCCCCGACATTTAGCGTTGAGAATCATTTGACGAGGGGCTAGTCAATATTTTTTACAGTGATGGCCAACTCTCTCAAGAACCGACAGCTAACGGAACACTGAAGTTTCACTACGACGATTTCCGCCAAAGTTACGAAGAAAAGGCAAGTGCAAGAAGTACAAAACTTCTCTTGGTAATCAAAACTTAGGTTTGGCAAATTCCAAACCCTAAGTCACTACAAATGTGGATATAAATAAGCTGGTTATTGACGGCCAAGCTCTGGCCAATCTGAGGTTCAGACCTATCATCAAGTTCATGAGGCAGCTGCGGTTGGGCGGCTCACGGGCTCCACTGCATAGGCTCAGACAGGTACTCTACAAAATGTCTTCTGTGTTCTTAGGTTCAGATCTATCGATAGGTACGAGTATGTGCATGCTTCTGATTCGATTGATAACTGTAAACGGGCGCTGGAAGTGAAAGGTTCGCTTGATATACGAAAGGTGCATTGCAAGAAAGCACATTATTTCAGAAATACACTTTCATTTTATCTTGAGCGTTTTTGGAATGGGCCGGATGAATTCGTCATCAAACTGGTAAGGGATTTCGTTTGAAGACCACCGATATTTAATAATATGATGGTCTTCAAACGAATTCGCTGGCAAATTCGATGACTGGATTGGGCGGCGTAGGATCTGCTGGTCATCTGACTATGGGTTGAGCAATACGTTAGTTTTGACCTAGTTTGAGCTTCATTCGTTAAGTAGGAACAAGACGATGCTTCTTTTGAGCATCGTCACTAAACAAGCCGCCCTCGTTTTGACATTGTTTTTCGCTATTATTGTTAGTAGGTACTTTGTTATCATACACAGCATTAACGAGGACCTGCTTCCAAAACAAGGCAGAAACGCTCCAGCTATTTTTGGGACGTGGTAAAAACTAACCGACACCTGGTAACTGTCATCTGACGAACACAAAACAAGCCAGGGGCTCGCAGCGTGTGTCAAAAGTAGGATGCAAAACTAGTCTGTACCCCCGACATTTAGCGTTGAGAATCATTTGACGAGGGGCTAGTCAATATTTTTTACAGTGAAGTGCGCAGGAGGCCACATCACTGCACGACGGTTGGTGCGCAACTGAAACTTTCAAAATGAAACGGCCGGAAACGTTTTTGGCGCCACCTATATAACAAGTAACAGCTTTGTGTATGTTACTACTAACACGTCTAACTAGCGTAACTAAGTCCGTGTTGCAAAGGTGTAGCTGATACCTTCGACAAGGACATAGATTACATAAGTATGTATCAGTATTGTTGCAATGGTGTAGCTGGTTCTTTCGACAAGGATATAAATTACAAATCATAAGCAAATATATGTTCCATATTACGAATAAGACCCTGGTAGTTTTCACAATAGCCTCCATAATCCTCGTCAATTTTATGAATGGTCGACTAGGTGCTGGGGCTGATACTTATATTTGCCCTGTTGATTCAACTAACTATGACAAGATATTCGTCGTTCGACATAACCTTTATTAGTATTTTTGACAAACGCTCGTCGTTGTACGACAATCCCTTGTCAAAATGAGTTTACAGTGTAAATGAGTTAATAAGCATATTGTTAGTAGCTCATGTTCATATTATCAGTTATAATTGAAAATTTTTATGAATTGACACACTTTGGCTTTACAAATGTTGTCAGAATGAGATAGCACGTATTTTCAGGCAAATAGCGCGCTTTGAACTATGGGCACAAACGAGATACATGGGATGACCTCAGGAATTAGCTCACTTTTCCGGTATTCTTATTTTGTCAAGCTGACGTCTATACATTACGCCATCAAAAATAGTATGATGCCAGTCTGAATAATCGTGTGAATTACGTTGGTTGGACATAAATGACACTTGGGACCTGAGTTCATTTTATTAGTATAATGGTAACCAAATTTGGATTGATAGACGGGCAGTGTAACGAGTAAAATAAACAACTTTTATCGGATTCGGAATGCAAGAGGTGCCAACGTGGGTGGTGGTTTGTATTTCCTGCACCTGGGTATTGTCATTTGACAGGCAAATTCAAGTGATCATTGAACTCTGAGAAGTGTTCCTGACAAGTGGCAATGGATGATTGAATGGACAGTTGAGTCCATTTACATGTCAGCCATTTTCCTGTGACATGGCTCGACTTCCACACTCATTAGTAACTACTTGGTCGCACAATACTTATCCACATCAAGATATAATAAATGTAGCATGCCAATTACGACCTGGAGCATGCAACTTTGCGTCTATTTTCCTTTTACTCAAGTAAAAATATGTGGATGACTGGGTTCTCAGCGCCACGCATTGGGTGAAAACTCGTTGACGTACTCCATTGTTCGAGACACGCCGCGGAGTGCAGGCGACTATCAGCGTGATTCATACACGACACCGTCTCACGCTAGCCATGATGTTGGTATACGGTCTTCACAGCTGGTCGATCGGTGTTTAAGGAGAGAGAAAGGAGGAAACAGCAAGCGTTTCGCATTGATTAGTCGCATATCGACTGCGGTAACTTTGAAGTTTGGAATTATGGTGATCGGTTTTCTTTTTAAAACTAGAAAATACTTGAACTTAGACCTAGCGGTAGCAGACCGAGACATAAATTCATACACCCAGTATTTGAGCGATATCAGGGCGGCAAAGACCAACAGCCGTTATCCGCCTCGCTACTGCTGAACAAGCGCGCGACAGCTTTTATCATTATCGAGTTGACACCCGATTCTCGAGGTCCGCCGCTTCGAGCCGGGGCTAGTGCTGGGTCAGCGGAGAGGAACTCTCGCCGCCGTGGCCCTTATGATCATCTGCTGTATCATCATTCTGTACAGTAGCACTGAAAAACCCAGCCTCTGCCTCCATCGCCAGTTGGTGAGTTTGAGAATGGCTTCTTATCCGGGGGCGTAGCGCATTGAAGCGGGGCTAAAAAGTGTGTTTATTAGTGACAGTATAACTGGTCGCTGATCGACATTGGTCTTCATGAAAAAAACTTCTTATGAACTATACATAGCTGACAGAAGAAATGCAATGTTAATTGACGTGTCGTTAAGTGGTAGAAATACAAACAATTTAGCTAAACCGAGTGTGAATAAGTGTCAAAACATGCATGCATGCGTGTGAGCATATAAGCCAGCGCGTTTAACTGTGAGTGAGTGCCGCGTCGCTTTCTGGACTGACCCTCCTCTCCGGCGTGAACAGAAGAAGTGCAGGCAGCAAGCAGCACTGCCGCCAGCAGCAGTAGCTTCAGAGGGGAGGCCATCATCTCCGGAGACAGGCTGGGCTGGAGCTGGAGCTGGAGCTTCGCCGCAGAGAGCCGGTGTAGCTCGCACTGCGCGCCACCGCGTCCCCGTCAGCACTGGGGCGGCCGCCGGCCGCCGGCCGCCAGGCCAACTCGTTTCGCCCGCCCCCCGCCGCCTCGCCACCCGCTCCTCGGCAGCGACAGGTTCACCGGCCCCCTGAAAAAATCCCCCCCCCCCACCACCACCACCACCGCTGTCATCAACACCGCTGGTGGTAAGAAGCGGCCGTGAAAACCAGCTCGTTGAGGACATGACGCGAAGTGATGTCCTCGTGGTTTACGATGTGATTTGGGAATCACGCCCGGTCGTCTGAGAGGCGCTTTCCGTCTTCAGACCGACTTGCGATGCCACTTCTCTCAGGGACAGTTTGTGCCGATGAGTCTTTTTTTCTGTACCTACTCTTCATAAATTAGTATACACAGTATATTCTTCGAGTTGTTAACCCGCGCATGACTGGGGTATTTTCCATAACGCGAGTGACTGAGGGGGGGGGGGCTCTCCAGAGCCCCCTCCCCTCCTATCTCCGAAACTACTGGGCTGATCGTCAAAATTCAAACGGCGTCTGATATCCCCGGAAAAACTGTCGAGCGAAACCTATTTTCATTGAACTCGAGGTCACCGATGACGTCACAGGTCAGGTCAAAGTAAAAATTATCGGCATTTTTGCTTGTTTACAATTTAGGCTCTGGCCGCTGACTGACAACTCATGATCAGGCTCATTTTTGGTTTACGCACTTCTTGATATATGCCTTAGATTCCCTGAGGGTACCGAACTTAAACCTCGAATTTTTTTTTTCAGGTCAAGGCCAGGTCATCCTAGGTCACGAGAATTGTATATCATGTATCGGTCACGTGACGCATGTTTTATGGTCCATTTTACACGTAGATTTCGAAAACAATGTTGGCTGGGTCATTTGAGATCATTTTCAGCTGAATTTACCGGAGGTAAGGTCAATTTCAGGTCAGAAAAGGTCAAATTTTGAAAATAAAAAAATCAACAAAAAAGGTGCCTATCAGATGCATTTTGAGCTCAGGAACACGATGGTGTCATTGATTTTGCTGTACGATGTCAAAAACGTACTGAAAAATGGTTTTGAAAATATATAAATGTAAAATTTTGACAATAATGCAAATAACTTAGTTATTTTTGAAGATATTGGGCTAAAACTTGCTTGAGTAGTTTATCACTGTGTGTTCTTTCACATATATTCCGGTTTTTGCGTAAAATCAAAAACGTCTTGAAAAAAAATATATATCTTTTGTAATTGTAAAAACATATTTTTCGAAATTTTCAAAATTTCAAAAATTCGAGATTGTAGCAGCTTGATAGCTATGTGTATTTGTAGTCCACTGATGCAAAGAAATTGGATCTAGCTTTAAAACTAAGCTCTTGAGAGCGTTTGCCGTAATTTAATATTTTGCATTAAAATCGGCCGACATGACGTCACTCTGACGTCATTTCCGGCCAAAATATCGTAGCTAGAAAGTTAAAATTTTACAACAAGGTGTCAAATTGATGCCGCTGAAGGTACTGCAAGTTTCGTGTTGATCCGTGAAATGGTTTAGAAGATATTGCCGAAAAACGGGAGGGGGACTCTGTAGAGCCCCCCCCCCCCCAGTCATGCGCGGGTTAACTCCTCTCTGATGGCCTAATAGCATCAGTAGTTGAAGTGTTTTGTATCGAAATCACCATTGATCCAGATATTGGTGAAGATAAAATAACTGATCGCTCAAGATATTATCTTCAAGCCTTGATCAGCGCCAATGCATAAACCTTTATCGTTTCCGAAGATTAGAAGCGGTGTGATCAAGTTCTGCTGTTTGAAAAACACATAGGCATACAGGGTGATTTTTTTACAGAGCAAAAAGTAAAGGGCAATGGCGGTACCAGAAAACACATCAACTGCTAGAAAATATATATTTTTGTAATAAACACATTTTGACATTTTATCTCCACACAGAAACTTTGAGGTTCAGCTCCGTTCAGGCCTACAGAGCGTGCTCGAGGTGCGCACCGTTTTCATGCACGCAAGCCTGGGCTCTTCTTCTAACGTGTTGCGTTGCTCGGATGACAGCGTCCTCACTAAGTTCAGCAGCAAACCTATTCACAACCAACTTAAGCTCGTTTATGGTCGAGAGGCGACTCTTTGACACCTCTTGCATTGCTGCACCCCAGAACCAGAAGTCGAGGCAGGACAGATCGGGGGACTTAGCCGGCCATGCATGATGCATTCCTCGGCTTATGACTCGTCCATTGAAAGACGCATCCAGCCAATTTCTTGCCGGCATATGGGGTGGAGCCCCGTCCTGCTGAAACCAGAGGTCGTTCTGGTTACATACTTGCGGCAACATGAAGTCCTTCAGCATGTTCAGGTAAACATCTCCGTTCACTGATTGGTCACGTTCAAACCAGTGCACCAGCACACGTCCCCGGAAAACCGCTGCCCAGCACATCACCTTTCCGCCGCCTTGTTCCCGGCACGGCAGGAATACCTTGGGGTCACTTGCAGCCCAGTAGCGCTCGTTTTGACGATTAGGTTCTTGTCGGAGGTAGAACCACTTCTCGTCCGACCAGATGACGCGATTCGGGAAGTCCTCGGGTAGCGACAGCAGCCACTCGCAGAACACTTTCCGCGCTTTTTTGTGCGTGACTGTGAGGATGTTGGTTTTCTTCCCCTTATAAGGGTACCAATGGAGTCGTTTTCTCAGGACTGTCCATACGGTACTGAAGGTCAGTTTCAGGCTAGCAGCAATTTCGCGGATGCTAGTGTTGCTGAACTCCTTGGCCTCCACGTAGGCTTTGACCCGGGCGACAGTCAGCTCCGAGATGGCTTTTCGGCCAGCAGTCTTTTTCGGGTAGGGGGAACAAACACGCTCAACAAACTTCTGGAATACCTTTTTGGAAGGTACCTTATGTGGGGTTTTCTCAAATTGGGTGCGAAAGTTTCGCCTGAGTATGGTGATGTTTCTCACGGCTCCATACTCGAGCACGACCCAGCGGTGTTGCTCTGGAGTAAAAGGCGATTCTGGGGAGGACATTTCTTTGGGTGCCATTTTCGGGGAACCTCATGACAGAATGAGTCCCAAGAAGTCTCTAAAAGGTCCTGAAAACAAAATGACAAACAATTTTCTTTCACGTGGATATATTTTTATCGCATTTGTTATATGTTTTGGTACCTCTAGGCTTAAAAACTTTTTGCCCTGTAAAAAAATCACCCTGTAGTTTCAAAGATCAAAAGATTTAGATGAATGCAAAGAGCACGTCGTGTTTAGGTACTATCATGGTTGCTTGGTTAGCTGCACCACTTATTTCGTACTTTGGTCAGCTGGCATGAGCAAATATGTAAATGACATCACATCAATACATACAACATTTGCATAACTTTTCGACGGTAAATGAGCAAATATGATGCATGATTACCAAACGTAAAACAAAAAGTGAAGAAACATGTTTCATTCTTATAAATCATAATGTATCGCACTTCATCTCAGTATTCGATCAATCAACATTATGATACGGCACATACGCTAATGAATCACGTACCTACAACTTTGGGCGAACCTCGATATGTTCGGGGAAATAAGCCGTCACATAACGCTTATTGACATAACGGCCCAATCGGTATGCCGCGGCAGGTTGATGCAAAGCATGACTTATCCCAAGCCCTGGCCTCCGCGTGCAAGAAGTGGAGCATAAACTTGGATCATCGGTGTCCGTTTTGTTATTTTATGCATGGAATACAGGCATACACATGTGTATTTGTGTTTTACTTGAGTATAATATTGCTTGTTTCATATTCTGATGATCCGTTTGGAGTAGGCGCTGAACGCAAAAATCACGACTTAACCCGCGAGTTGCTGGGGGGGGGCGTTAAACGCCCCCACTTTTTTCGCCGGGCCATAGCATAAAAACGGCGCGCTGCAGGCGCGCCAAATTTTGGGTACCTGTAGGGAATTGATTGAAGTTTAATGTGACAAAGTTTCAAAAAAATCGGTCGGAAAATTTTTGAGATATCTAGGTTTTAGTGACGTCATGATTTCTGAGTTTTCGACCAAAAACGGCATATGTTCAAAAAATCATATAAAATCACAGAATAGACATATAGACATGCCATCAACGCCATTAGACTGTCAATACCATGAACAATCAAATGGCTATCTTCGATTATTGATTATGGATCCGCATTTTCCAAAATCTTGAACTGAATCTTGGCGATTTCTCGTGACTACTTCACGACCATGATACATTAATTTCTTAAATTGATCTTTTTTAGCCAAACACGTACACATATGATAAATTGAATGTCACCATCGTGTTCTACGCCCCAAATTACCCATAAAACATGTGTCACAGGCTGCGTATATCAGTTTTTATTTTCGGGGATATGTGCCTGCCCGGTTGACCTGACCTTGACCCTGACCTATACTTGACTGACCCCTGCATGGAGCTGAAACTCTTGTAGGCCTTATATGATGGATTGTGCACCGTTTTGACAGAGTTTATGACGAGAGGCGCCCATTGCGAAGTCCTGAAGTCCATGCTACTGAAAGCCCGATTTCAGGTGTTTGACCTGACCTTGACCTGACCTGTGACCTCGAAGTTCAACTTTAAAGTACTCATCTGAAGCGTCTCGTCGCGTTCTTTTGTTTGCCGCCCCGTGCGTTTCGCTGCGCCTATTGGTTCTCGAGTTATCGGCTGGGGGCGTTTAACGCCCCCCCCCCCCCAGCAAACGGTGGGTGGCGAAATACCCCAGCAACTGCCGGGATAATTATAAAGTTGATTGTAATATTGAGTAGCCGTATTTCAACTGTAACACACAATAAATCCATGCGTTTTAGCTGACATAGATGCTTCCAGCTCTCTCTCTCTCTCTCTCTCTCTCTCTCTCTCTCTCTCTCTCTCTCTCTCTCTCTCTCTCTCTCTCTCTCTCTCTCTCTATCTCTCTCTCTATCTCTCTCTCTCTCTCTCTCTCTCCCTCCGTCTCCCCCTCTCTCTCTTTCTCTCTCTCTTTCTCTCTCTCACCTCTCTCACTCTCTCTCTCTCACTCTCTCTCCCTCTCTCTCTCTCACTCTCTCTAAAATAACAATTTACACTTAAAAGCAAGAAGTTTAACTTGCATTTTGACAGGCTCTGTCTCCACCACCAATGTATTTATTAAAACGTCATCAGCCAGCAGTCATTCTGCTGTCATCTGTGCAGTAGCTGACATGCCAAG